CGATAGCTATAGCGATCGCAAAAACCTCATCGTCAAGTGATTTCATCGTCAAACGGGTAATCGTCAAGCGGGGCACCACTGTATTGTTTTTTTTTTAATAAGCCACCTTGGGTCCTTTTTAAGGAGAAAAGCTGAGGAGAATGGATGGATGGATGGATGGATAGATAAAGTTCCTTATTTCATCTAGCAAACAGTGTATTTGTATCATTTTCCATTATAGTTTGCCATTCAAATAGATAAAAAGCTATCTTTCAAGATTTGGGCTAGTTCTATCTAGAAGCTCCAGTAGTACGCCTAAGATTTTATAAATATTAAGTTTCATAGATTTCATGAATCCAGAATTATTTTTGTCCTATTGAGAGTGAATCTTTTGAGTGCTGATATTTTTCTTGTCACAGCTGCATTGCTACACTAAAGTAACTATAACCCAGCTCTATTTTAATTGGCAGGTAGGGACCAGTTGACTTATGGGAATCTTTATGCAGCTACAAGGTTTCCTCTTTTGTTTAATAATTGCCTAGATAAAACAAAGATCAAGAAGACTTTGCAGTTTTAAAAATGCAGTTCTTAAAACTCAGTTTGCGTTCTTTTGGTTTAAACCTGACACTGTTTTTTGCTGTGTTTGGACCATGGGGAAAATCATGCTATTCCATGAATGCAACTTGTAAAATTCATGGGCCCAAGAGAGTTGAGCTTAAGCAATGAATTCTTCAAGCTTGCTTTATTCAGGATACTGTCTCAGTATCAGTCAAAGTGAATTTCAAATCAAGCTCCCTATTTAAGCATATATGGTGATTGGGAGTAAGTTATTCACTCTCAGTTTCTTCCTTTTTTTTTCTGAGTAAGGGGAGATCAGGCTTGCTTATAGACTGAGCCAAACCAGAGCTTGCCATAACCTTTGGAAACTGTAGCCTTACTGTTCTTCCAAGCTTAAATGGTATACAGTACTGTATTTCCCCCATTCCTGGTCACTTAATAAACTTCCTGTTGTGTGCTTGGGGATTCTAGTAGTCTTAAAAACATTACATTTCCATGGTATATCCTTCCCACATACTTAAAAATCCTCCCTTTTGTTGTGCTCCTGGTAAAGAAGGACCGGAGCTAGCCCTACGAGCTGCAGATCCTGAAAAGTGTAGAAACTAAATGGGTACGTAAGTTTTCCAAGCACTGCTGCTGTTCATGTCAAAGGGTTTCTACAGTCCTTTGCATCTCGCAAAATGAAATCATAGGGCACTTGTGTTTTTGGTTTTGTGTCTTTTGAAATATTCTCTGTAAATATACAAGCCTAAGGGCCTTCCAGTTTTCTTTAAAAGTCCAACAGTTATAAAGTGGGTGATAAATTGTGAGGATTTTTGACCCAGTTTTCAAAGCAAATGGCTCTCCTGAGGCCATGAGGAGGATTGCTTGAAGTGTAGTCAAATAATTGTCTGAAGTATTAAAAGGACTTTACACTGGTTTTCGTAAGTTGTTCTTAAATTGATCTGCCTGTCTGCTTTGAATACATAGGACTGCTTTAGTGAGTGAAATACAAACAACAGTGTGGCGTTCGTTCGTTCGTTTAGTCGTTTAGTCGTGTCCGACTCTTCGTGACCCCATGGACCAGAGCATGCCAGGCCCTCCTATCTTCCACTGCTTCCCGTAGTTGTGTCAATTTCATGTTGGTTGCTTCGCAGACACTGTCCAGCCATCTCATCCTCGGTCGTCCCCTTCTCCTCTTGCCGTCACACTTTCCTAACATCAAGGTCTTTTCCAAGGAGTCTTTTCCAAGGAGTCTAGTGGAATTTTGAATTTTCCGCCGCATTTTCCACAGCATCAGAAGTTGCATTTTTGTTCTATGTCTTTAATGATGATACAAATGAACCCCAGTACCTGACTGATCTAGTTCATCCCTCTCCCTAGATGTTTGGGAATACGGCACCCATCACCCAAGTCAATAACTGCTGGCTGAGCACAATGCAAACTGGAGTAGGTCTATTTCCATTCAGTATCTACAAAGTATTATTCTGGCAATGACAAACTCAGACTAGTCAGTGAGACAAGATGTAGCACAGGGAGTTTGGGACTATAATGAAAAGTCAGACCAAATAATACTACTCCATCTTCATGGAAACCCTATCAACACAGTAATTCACGTCTGTGCTCCAGCTACTCTGTTGATGCTGAAGAAGAAGAAGAAGAAATTCACATTTTTTTTTTCAGGAAAAATGCTCCAGCTACTCTGTTGATGCTGAAGAAGAAGAAGAAATTCACATTTTTTCAGGAAAATATGATCACACATACATTGCTGAACATATATTCTTGAACTGCCAAGCACAGACAATTCAGCTGCTAAATTTTGAATCCCACAATTGGTTGCAAATTAAAAGGCCCCCTTCCCAATAATAGATATTTAATTATTTTAATTTTTCACGTTCAACTCTGTTGATGCTGAAGAAGAAGAAGAAATTCACATTTTTTCAGGAAAATATGATCACACATACATTGCTGAACATATATTCTTGAACTGCCAAGCACAGACAATTCAGCTGCTAAATTTTGAATCCCACAATTGGTTGCAAATTAAAAGGCCCCCTTCCCAATAATAGATATTTAATTATTTTAATTTTTCACGTTCATTAACTAATCATTTTATTCTGTACTTCATTCAGTCAAATTGTCAAGCATCCATTGGATGGACAGTTTAGCTATGCCTTTAATAGTAGGTACCCCTTTTCTGCATACAGAAACTTTTAGAGGGAAATTGCAAATAATCTCTGCTTAATCTTACTTAATCATGTTTTTACTCCAATAATAGTGTTTCTTATATACTATACATGGAAGACTAAAGCGTATTTCTTTTTCCTTTTGTAGAACAGTACAGTTGATCTGATCTAGATGTGCAGTTTCATCTGCTTGATGCTATGCCATCACAAAATGACTAAGATATATACAGTATTATATCTAGGCAGATCTTACAGTACCACAAAATGACTAAGATATATACAGTATTAAGAGTTTGTACTTCTAGGCAGATCTTACAGTATGGTGCTGAAGAAAGGCACTAGAAATTGCCAACTGGCTGTTTATAGAGCAGTGGCTCCCAACCTTGGGATTCCAGATGGTTTTAGGCTGTAACTCCCAAAAGCCATGGAAATACCAGAAATTCTTAGATAAGTTAACTAAGATTCCTAAGTATTATAGTCCTGAGTGCATTTATAGAGCCAAGCTTTAACCACCTGATATACTTTTTAAAGTGAACTGATCATCTCTCTTTGATGAGGAATAAGGTGGGATGACCTATCCACTCTACAGGAGGGCAGTTAGATAACATAAAACTTATATTAATTTTTTTTAACAGTAATTTTAAAATACTAGATTTTTGAGAACCTTTCTCTGGCAGGAGTTAATTTTTTTAACACATTTAAAATTAACGTAGTAACTGTAATGTGTTATTTCCAAGCTCTGACTGGGAAAGACAGAAACATTAATCTAAATCTATACAGATGTCTTAAAATTATAAGGCCATTTTTTACAAAAAGCAAAAGCATTTTAGCAATATAAATGAAAAGCTTAACTTTAATTATCTGATTTTATTTTTTTAAAAAACTTCTGATTCTCTCTAAACATCCCATACAGTATTAAACTGTATATATTTTAATTACATTCCTCTCGTTTTCATAATCTTAGTAAGGATATGGAGTATATGGTCACATGTCCAAGGGAGTGCCCCTTGATCTAGTTAAAACCTCCTGATACATACCTAGGTATATAAACGTATATAATGGGTAAAATCCAGTTGCTTAGCATAGTAAATCTTAATTAGAGTGGGCCCATTGAACAAAACTTAAGAAAGGAGTTGGCTCATTAAATCCCCACTGATTCAATGGGCATGTTGTGAGTTACTATACTAAGCAACTGGATTGCAGTAGTATGTATATAATATGTAAGGCCAAAATCATATTAGTATTTGGAGAAGGTTTTTTCTTTTCTTGTTACAAACAGCTAATTGTGGCTGATTGACAAGGTGCTGGGGTGTGCCTAAATCACATGCCTGGTCAAATACCTGATTGTGCAATGGGCACTTCATCAACTAGTCACAATTAGCTATGGCAAGTCACACAAACATTATACAAACAGTACTAGGATTCCAGCCATTATTATATGTAACATAGGGCACAGTGCATCTCTCTTTCTGTGTACAGTACCTACCTACCCACCCACCCACATACCTACCCTTCTCCCTTGAATTGCAGGGGTTTGAACAGCACAGTTTTGGTTATGCACAGATTATTCTAATGAATACAAATATTTAATAAATACTGTGCCCCTGGCCATCCAGAACCCCATGAGTTCAGCACCAAAGGTGTCAAAAGTGGTCTACTTGCTCCCAAACACAACATCTCGAATTCAGCCCCTACATCAGGGAGTCATAAGGACCTTCAAATACACATGGTACTGTAAAGAAAGGATTGCCAATACTATGGAAGAGAACCTCGATAGCGAGAACTCTGTCTGTCTGTCTCTCTGCAAATATATGTATGTTTATGTGTATATGTTGTGTACACATACATATCTGTATAATTTTTATGTATGTAATGTTAACTGGAATTGCCACTGTTAAGAAACTGATCTAAGTATATGCTGACAAAAATATGGCTTGCTTCCCACGACTTGCTTTCTCTTTTTTTTTCTTGCCTAACAGTGCATGAAGAATCATTTTGCAGTCTTTTCTGCTGTTTAACTGATCTGTTTGTAGTCTTCTAGGAGCATGTCTAAAGACAAGGCCTGAGAAGGTTAAATGTTTTGCATTCCATGTCCCATGTTTAGTTGGTCTAGCAAAGAACGGTGTCGAAGAGTGACTGAAAAGAGGCTTAGAAATCTGAACATTTCAGAAGGAAGAAAGAGATCATAGCCTTTCAATCCTGATTCTGCCCTCCCAATTTATTTCGTTAGTACTTTTTAGCTGTAAGAGTTTGCCCTGCAAGTCATTTTAACACAACGTACATCTGTTTTCTTTTCAGCGAAACTTGCAAAACGCTCTCAAGAGAGGGAGAACCTCGGCATGCTAGTTTGGTCACCTAACCAGAATATTTCCGAAGCAAAGTGTAAGTCAATGGATATTTGCTTTTGCCTGTCTGTTCTTCCCCCACCTCCCCCTGGTCCGCTTTTGGGGGAACAAAAAGAAGGAAAGAAAATATGTTTTTTTTTCCACTAAAGAGAAACCTGAGGTTTTGTAACTCTGAAAATTTCCCAGGGAGCGTGGTCAGTGGCAAAGGGAGGAGCAAAGATTTTTCATGTCTGAGCAAAACATTTGTTTGTATCTTGACTCATTAAGCTGAGATGTGATTGTCCAAATAGGGCTACTGAAGGGAAAAGAGGAAGCTATGAAAGGAAGCTACAAAACCATGTTTTGATATTGAAGGAGTCGGACAGAATTCTATGGGAAAAGTTTCACTGGAAACCAATTATGTTCTTTTATAACAGCCATTCTTATCAGGGAGGTTTTACTGGAGGAACTTTGGTCACAATTTGAAGCCCTGTCGTCTACCTAATAGCAACCTTATACGATGATGACGATTCTTACCTCTGTGTTTTCTTACTTGTGAGAATCTGGTGGTAATTATTACCCTTTGATAAACAGTATGGGGAAACCAACATAAAAATACAAGTGCTTACGTAGTAATATTTTTTCCTTTTGTTCTATTTTTGGCACGTTCAACAAGGTGAACTAGGCTGGAAGGCCAGACCGTGACAGCTGTTGTTGTTGACTAATATGAGCCCCACCCCAGCCCTCCCGATTTGGCAGGTGGCCCCTCCTTCATCCCAACATCCATAGAGTCCAGACCAGCTTGTACAAAAACAACTTGGCTTATTGACACTTGGGAGCAGAGTTTAAGAACTGCAGTTAACAAATAACATGGGCCTAGGGTTGGTGGCCTCTGTTAACCCTAGCTCAGTCTTGGTCTCTACAGTGCCTGCAGTTAACTTCACTGGCATGTGCGAATCCTCTGATGGCTTTACCATTGAGTCCCAGGTGCCTCTGAAACTTGGGGCCCAGAGAAGCGAGAGCCAATTTGATTATGCCCACAATGAGAGCAGAGGACATGGCATATCAGTGCCCTAGTTCCTGGATTTTTCCAATTTTTTTTTTACACCCAGCACTGGTCCTCTTGCTGGCGGAAGATACAAGCCTTCTGTCTTTGTCATTTCCAGTGCCACTGTTGCATTGTGGTTGATTCTCCCTCCTCATCTCTCCAGAGATTTGAGGTTGAGATCAAGTACAAAGGAGATGTGCAAAGGGTTTGGTGTTTTGGCCCCTTGTGCTTCAGTACCCTCTACTTCACCAACTCCTCAGTCCAGGGATATTCCTTGACCACATAGTTCCAATCCTGGGTGGGTTTAGGAGCTCCGCTTTCTGCCTTTTCCACGCAGAAGGCTCCTATAACCTCTCC